AATCTAGTTGCTGGCATGGGCTGTCACAGCAGACCTGTGGGGGGCCCCACCCTAGTCGGCTCAGAGGGAAGAAATATGGAGTGAGCAAGTGAGAGTTGCAGGCGGGGGGAAATGAAGGAAGGGAGGAAGGAAGGAGGCAGAAGTGAAAGCAGCAAGCAGAGGAAGGCAGGCAGATCGATGGAAGGAGGGAGGGAGATTGAGCAGAGGAGACCCAATCCCGTGGCCATGGAGGAAGTTGTTGGGGTTGGAACTTAACAGGTTAAGTTGTTCCCATGTTGCCACACCATTCTGACGTCAGCTTTCGAAGCTGGGAGGAGCTGGGAGGAGTTTTAGTTCTGTTCCTCTCTGTGCTGTGAGGGAAAAAGACGTAGTCTGTAATGGCTGCTGTGAGTCCTGGAAATTCCTGAGAAATGTCGGAATAAACACCTGTAAATAGACAAACCTGACTTCGTGTGTTTGTCTGGAAGCTAAGTCAACAGCTACGTGACAGTTTTACACCGCTGTGTTCAACTCTGCTACTGGCGTGACTGGACGACGCAGCTGAGAGGCGCAGCTGAGGGAAGCGCGCCGGACCCAGCAGCCATAAATCGCTAATTGAGGATCGCAAATCAATTAGCGGGGGTCACGGTAATCAATAAACTCGTCACAGGTTATGGATGCTTAATCACCGACCGTAAAACTGTCACTAGAAGTGCCGGAATGCGTTTGAAGTTGCGGTTTAGAGCAAAGGAGCTTCGGCAGGAGGCGGAGTGACTTTTTGCCTGGTGTTAAGAGGCAAAGGAGCAGCTGCGGAGTTTGAAAGCAGCTGGCTGAAAGACGCAAAGAGCAGCTGGAAAATCGTTTCTCCGGACGGGTGCTGGATAAGCTGTGAGTAAGCTTGGGGCCCCTTGGGAGAACGGGAGAAGATGGCAGAGAGCCAGGACATACCGGTGGAAAAGCTCACTCTAAAGAGTTGGGCAACCTGGAGGCAAAGAATAAAGGGGTGGTTCCTGGTCCATGGGCTTTGGGGAGCAAGCCAGAGGGAGCCACTACCACCAACCCCCAGCGCCAAAGCGGCTGGAGACGTTGCAGGCTGTGACGCTACGTTGCCTGAAGGAAGCCAGCAGAAAATGCAAAGAGAGCTGGATATGCTCAGAGCATGCGTTGATGCATCGCTGAGACCCCACTTGGAGGGTGTGAAATCAGCGTGGGCTGCCTGGAATGGGCTGAAAGGTTTGTGTGAAGCTTCAGCGGGAGGCCAGAGCCCTGCAGACGCTGGACTAGAAGCCCCTATTCCCCAATCAGCCTCAAGGAGCGCTGATGCGCAGATCGGGGGGGGCAAAGAGTTCCAAAGGCAAGTTTGAAAAGTTTTCCACTGAACCTGCTGGAATGAAGCGGCAGTTCAGGGGGGGCGGATCTGGCAAGGAGCGCTTTTCCAGAAGGAAGAGGGCCAAGCCAGCTGAAAAGAGCCCCAGGCAGTGTTTTTCCACTGGAGTTCGTCGTTGCTACGTCTGTAATGCGGCGGGACACCTGCGTCGAAGTTGCCCCCACCGGAGCAGAGTGGCAAGACAGGATGTTGCCAAGGTCAACCAGCTGAACTCTCATGGGAACCAGTCGGGTTCCCATGGCAACCAGTCTGGAAAAACAACCAGGCGTGGGACTGAGTCTGGTGGACGTGACAGACACCAGGAGGAGGCTTATCAACTCGCAGCTAGTCTGGCTTTGTCTGAGGACAGCTCAACCAGCTGTGGGCCAGGCTCAGAGCTTTGTTTCGTTATTGACTCTGCAGCGAATTGCAATTTGATTCCAGAGACACCTGCTGTCGAGAGGTGGAATTGCAAGGCAATTCCGGCTGGGAAGACTGTACTTTTCGCAAATGGACAGAAAAGAAATGTCACTAATTCTGTAAATGTGCATGTGTTTGCTTTACAGGAGACGTTGAAGTGTTATACTGTTCCTGGGATGCACCACTGTCTTTTATCTGTGCCTTATTTACTGAAAAAGGGATTTAAGGTTTGTTTTCAGGATGCTGCTTGCACAATCTCCAAAGGAGGGAGGATGCTTGCCAAGGTTAAAAAGGGGCAGAATGATCTCTTCATTCTTAAAACACCTCTGGAGGGTGATGGGAAGGTTGAGAAAGCACAAGCACTGCGTGCTACAATTCCCAATCATGATTCATGTGTCCATGCTTGGCATGCACGAACAGCTCATGGTTCTTTAGAAGAACTACAGGTGTTACCTGAGGTTTCCAAAGGTTGTAAAATTACAGAATGTGGCTTTGCAGTGAATTGTGAAACTTGCAAGCTGGCAAAGGTAAAAGGTTGCAGTTATCCAAAAGTGAAAAGGGTAACCGCAAAACCTTTTGAACTGGTCCACATAGATTTGTGGGGTCCTGTAAGGGAAGCAAGTCTGGGAGGTGCAAGGTTTCTGCTGACGGTGCAGGATAATTTTACGCAGAATTCCTGGACTCATGGTCTTAAATCCAAGGATGATGCAGCACAGCTGATCAAAGGATGGATTGAGGAGGTGGAACAAAGGTTTTCCACCAGAGTGCAAGCAGTCACCAGCGATAGAGGAGCTCAATTTACAGGGTCTGCTTTGCAGAAATTCTTTCACAAGAAAGGGATACGTCACACAGTGACTTCACCCACTCAGAGGGGGGTGGCACAGCTGAGAAGTGAGGCTCTCGTTAAAGCTGCACAGGTGATGCTGGCAGATGCTGGGTTACCTCCAAGGTTTTGGCTGGAGGCAATCAAGTATGTGGGCTTCACCTGGAATCGTACCTACAACTCACTGGTAGGTGACACACCTTTTGGATTGTTGCATGGCAGGAAACCCCAGATTCATTTTTTGCGAATGTTTGGTGCAAGTGCGTCTGTGCCGGTACCTACTGCTTTGCAGGGGCCAGATGGATCCAAGTTCCGAAAAATGATCTTCTGTGGGTATGAGCCAGCAGCACGTGCATGGAGGTTTGCATATCCATCAGGTGATCAGAGTAAGGTGCTGATCAGTAAACACGCTGAGTTCTATGAACAGGATAAAAGGTCAAAAACTGCTGTCATGCGTGATGTGCTCTCAGAATGTCTGTCTGATTCTGAGGAGGAAAGGGAGGTAGAGGCTGATCCCGGTGATGAGGACCAGGTCCACGATCAGGGTTCAGAATCCGATGATGACGATCAGGTCACTGACCAAAGTCAGGAACAGGAGGAGGTTTCTGTAGCTTCTCCACAAGATGTTAAGAGGACACCCAAAAGCGAGCCCAGTTCTCCTGTGAGTGTAATGGAGAGGATTCGAAAACGCTTTAAGTCAGAGGGGGAATCCCGTGATGCTGAGGACACACTTTCTGGTGGCGGTGAGTCAGAGATAACATCTGAGTTTGTGCCTAGAAGGTCCAGTCGCTCAACAAAGGGTATTCCACCTGAAAGATATCAGGCCACAAGTGCGTGGATAGGTTTCGCACAGTGTGATTCTGAGGGTATTGAAGGGGTTCAACAGGTGCCTGGGAAAGATGCTGGAAAGAGGCACAAGGCAAAGGGGAAGGTGTTGAACTCAAAAGGGTCTTGTCAGAATGGGCGGCAAAGGGGGGTGTTGGGGTTGGAACTTAACAGGTTAAGTTGTTCCCATGTTGCCACACCATTCTGACGTCAGCTTTCGAAGCTGGGAGGAGCTGGGAGGAGTTTTAGTTCTGTTCCTCTCTGTGCTGTGAGGGAAAAAGACGTAGTCTGTAATGGCTGCTGTGAGTCCTGGAAATTCCTGAGAAATGTCGGAATAAACACCTGTAAATAGACAAACCTGACTTCGTGCGTTTGTCTGGAAGCTAAGTCAACAGCTACGTGACAGTTTTACACTGCTGTGTTCAACTCTGCTACTGGCGTGACTGGACGACGCAGCTGAGAGGCGCAGCTGAGGGAAGCGCGCCGGACCCAGCAGCCATAAATCGCTAATTGAGGATCGCAAATCAATTAGCGGGGGTCACGGTAATCAATAAACTTGTCAACAGAAGTCACAGACAGAGCTGCAAAGACAATGATATGTAAACGTTTTGAGTTTCTGGTCCATGGTCTCTCCTGGCTTCGGAGGTGCTGATACAACCTTCACATACAAATCTTCACATAAAAGACATGTTGAAAGGGGAGGCCATAGCTCCCCTCTGCCATTTCTCCCCAGTGAACCAAAGTATGGATCACTCACAAGCACATTTGTTTGCAAACACACTTAAGCACTTGACAGATCATGATGTGACAAGTTATGGCAATAGCTCTGGATGCAGGAGGAAGAAGCAAAGGTGACAGGGCGGGTAATATGTAGCTTTTCCACAATAGTCAGCCATCAGTGCACATGAAGGAAACTAGTACAGTGGTACCTCGGGTTACATACGCTTCAGGTTACAGTCTCCACTAACCCAGAAATAGTAACTCGGGTTAAGAACTTTGCTTCAGGATGAGAACAGAAATTGTGCGGCGGCAGCGGGAGGCCCCATTAGCTAAAGTGGTGCTTCAGGTGAAGAACAGTTTCAGGTTAAGAACGGACCTCCGGAAGGAATTAAGTACGTAACCAGAGGTACCACTGTAGTGCTCTCTAGCACGCCCCATTTCCCTCTATTGATAAATAGTTCAGGCACAATATACAGTAGTATTCAACTCATGTATTTTCTTTTTTATAGTATATGTATTGTGCATTATTCATGCATCTTTAATACTTGTCCTAAATTAATGTATTGTTTCTCACCAGTGCTGGGGTGTGGTCCTTCACAAAGATGCCAAGCCTTGACACTAGCCCTCGCAGCTCTTCCTTCCGTATTGATCCTCCTAGCTATTTTTGGACAGGAATTGGAACAGGGATTATTCTGTTGTCCCTCCCTCCCCAAACCAGTTGATTCCACACCAGTGCGCTGCCACCCGCCACCCCCACCCCCTGCTGAGATTCACTATTCAGAATAATTTCATTAGTGATAACTTTCTTACAATGAAGGGAACTTTGGCCTTTAAAGATGCCTATTTGTGGATACGTGTCAGAGTAAAGTCCACCGACCAGAAGACTGATACACTGGAAATGTAAAGCTATGTGAAGACAGCTGGCTTTTCCACAGTTAAGATAGAGATCTTGGGCTGAGCTGTTTACCTAGACTGCAGCAGTAGGCAAAGTGCATAGCCAAGTAACTACCCCATAGATTAATGTGCAGCTCTCACCTGGCCAGTTGTCAGTTTAAACAAGAAAGGTAAGATTATTCTGTTCTCTTTATTTTGTTCAGTTCCCTAATCTAAAGCTTCCTTCTATATTTACTGAAGAACTTTAGTGTCAGAAACACTAAAGAAGTATTCTTTATTCTGGGGAGGAAAAACATTTGACCCTGTCTTTTTACCCTTTATGCAATCTTGTTTTGGTTGTAATGAATTTATGTGTTTTACTGGTTTTCATAATGCTTATTATCTTTTTGTAAACTGCCATGGGAACCTAGGGTGAAGGTTAGGTAAGAAATCTTACAAGTAATTCAATCAATCAATCAATCAATCAATCAATCAATGTAAGAACCCTCTTCTAGGGTTGCAGTCATATACACACTTAACTGGAAATAAGTCTCGCTGAACTCTTTGGAACTTTCTTCTGAGTGGACATACAGTATATAGGATTAAATTTCTCAAAATTAATGAGAATTTGAATTTTGGGTCAAATTCATGCAGTGGAACTATAATTTTGTACAGGATTGCAGCCTTACTCATAGAAAATCATGAGCTCATTTTGAGATCACTGCTGGTGCTTTATGTGAAAATGTATTCAATATTTGGGCCGAGGGGGAACACATTGCTTTTGGAAATATACCAAAAGAGTAATTTCTGCATAGGGAAGACACAGCTCCCTCCCAAATATGATAGGAAATTGTATATTACTGCTTGGGATTAAGTTAACAGTTCGAAAGGTGTTGAAATTAAGAACAAGTTGGCTTAAAGTACATTTTAAAGCTTCATGGAATCCAACGGGTTTTTTTAAAGTGAAAGTGGTGGTTTGTACTTCTTGTTGTTGTTTAGTCGTTTAGTCGTGTCCGACTCTTCGTGACCCCATGGACCAGAGCACACCAGGCACTCCTGTCTTCCACTGCCTCCCGCAGTTTGGTCAAACTCATGTTCGTAGCTTCAAGAACACTATCCAACCATCTCGTCCTCTGTCGTACCCTTCTCCTTGTGCTCTCCATCTTTCCCAACATCAGGGTCTTTTCCAGGGAGTCTTCTCTTCTCATGAGGTGGCCAAAGTATTGGAGTCTCAGCTTCAGGATCTGTCCTTCCAGTGAACACTCAGGGCTGATTTCCCTAAGAATGGATAGGTTTGATCTTCTTGTAGTCCATGGGACTCTTAAGAGTCTCCTCCAGTACCATAATTCAAAAGCACCAATTCTTCGGCGATCAGCCTTCTTTATGGTCCAGCTCTCACTTCCATACATCACTACTGGGAAAACCATAGCGTTAACTATACGGACCTTTGTTGGCAAGGTGATGTCTCTTAATGAGCAACAAAACATGAACCCTGATGGGCACTTGTCCATACATAAAAGACTGAAGTGTTGAGGCTTGGAAACACTGTCACTTGGACATTATGCTGTGGAGTAACAATCATCTCCACAGACAGCTTGTCCAGAGCTGACGTTTCTGGATGCTTAAGTTCTTTATTTCTGTGCAAAGGCTTCTTTCAGATGTGGTCCAGGGAATACAGCACATCAGTTCTGATAAAGGAGAGGTGTGCTTTTTAAAATGGAAACCTTGACATGACATTATTTTCTATCAGCTCTTACCGTGCACTCAATTGTTCTATATCACACTGATTGATAGCAAAACAAGATGAAACGTCTTCTGCGTGGCAGGAAAGTTCTACATGTCAAAGAAGTAGTCTGTCGCAAATGCACTGTGACATGTTTAAAAAAAGCCCTGTGCTGCCAAAGAGAAAAGAAAAGCCCTTTTTTGGCAGATCTTGAATGTTGCAACCAGGTGTTTCAATTTCTCTTCAAGAATTTCTCTGGATGCAATCAATCTTTTAATGCTAAATGCCAGCCTCTGTTATGTTTGCAGCATCCAGCGACCTGAGTGAAAGGCATCTTCAAGGGAGAGAATGAATCTGGAAAAGTCAGCGGGATGTTTTCTGCTGCTACTCTTTCAATGTGGACTATGGACAACTGCAGAAAAGGCCTTTGAACTTGCTAATTCTCATCTGATTCCACCAGGAGACTATAAGAGACTGATCAACATTAACGCAGAAGGTAATTGTGGTATGCCGGGTATGTGTGTGATTTAGGAAAGGGCAATCAAAATTACGGAGGGATTGATTAATGTTCCCTATGAAGAAATGCAAAAGTGGGGATTTTTAGAAGGGGGGAAAAGTGTTTTCAGGATGTGTGCAGAGAATTGCTACAGAGAACATTGACAAAAACGTGTTTTATCCCTCTCCCATAATACTAGAACTCAGGTTCTCAAGATGAAATAGATTGGCAGTAAATTCAGGAAGTCCTTTTTCACTTATACTAACTTAAAGAAAGCACTTCCACAAGATGTGGTGATGGTGACCTTTGGTTTAGATGGCTTTAAAAGGAAGATTGGGCCTCCAAGCTACAAACTTGGTCATCTCACCTCTTATACACCCTGCCAATCACTGGGCACTGCAGGTGAGGGCCTCCTACAGATACCGTCTTATCAGGAGGTCTATTCCATACAATGGAGGAATCAGGCATTTCATGTTGTGGCACCTACCCTTTGGAATCCCCTCTCTTGAATATTAGACAGGCACCACCTCTGTTGTCTGCTGAAGACCTTCATCTACAATAAGCCTTTTAAATTGATATTTTCCCCAGTCAGCATATGTACTGGAATTGTTTTTAAGAAGATTTTATTATTTTATCATTTGCTGTTTGCCATCATGGGCTCATTTGGGAAGAAGGGCAGGGTATAAATTTAATAAATTCTAACAATAAATACAGGGAAAGTGCAACCCCATTCAGAATAAATTGTATCACTCCACCCGGATCTCCCAGCTTCGTAACCTGCAGCACCTCTGTCTCATCTGAATTTACACCTCAGTTTGTTTACCCTCATCCACTCCAAAAATACCTTGAGACATCTTTTTCCAAGACTCCCTAGGATTTGCAGGCAGAAATGAGAGTTAGAGCTGGTTGTCAATCACATACTGGTGATTTTGAAGACCAAACCTCCAGATTATTCCCCCCACCCAGCACACACATGGTGTCATGTACAGTAGGTATTATACAACATGGAGGCCATAAACCTGAGGCACCCCAAAGGCCAGAGGGCTTGGGGTAGAACAAAAGTCCTCCAGCACCACCTTCTGGTACTGATCCTCCAGGAAGGAATAGAGCCAAAGTAATACAGTGCATCCCATACCCAACCTAGCAGGATTGTCCAGAAAGAGACTCTCAACAAACCCAGTATCCTTAGCTACATCCAGTCTAGTGGGTGGCACTGACTTCCAGCTTCCTCCTTTGCCTTAGTTTCAGTGTTGTCCTTGTAGAATTCAGCAGGAAGAGGATGGGGACAAAACCAGAATTATCGGGCCTTGGCTATTATTGACGCCATCTCCACCTACTGTTGTCCTTTCCTGCCTTCTGTGTCTCAGGGAGCATCAGCCTCCACTGATTCTCCACTGTGATACAGCTCCATATGTTGGCCATGTCTAATATGGAAATAGCTGTTTTTCCTTCTGAGAGGAAAGAGGCACCCATACCGCACAGTCAGTTCAGGGTACTTTTCACTGATGGGTAGATGCAGTGCCAAGCAATTACGAACTGTTCCATTCCTTAAGTGTGTATCAGAGTTCTTAGGAGTTGGGGGTTCTGTACTGGGAGACAAATAATAGTTGTCAGAGAGGAGATTTCTGCAAGAACTATTATTTCTTTGTTAAGAGACACGGATGAAGGGGAGCTTTGTAACACATCCTCAGAATCTCTAACGATACTCTGAGTCATGTCCTCCTCCTCCACTTACAGAGATTGAAAAATTAGCTCTAATCAACCGTAACTCTTCCAGCTCTCAAAGTTGCGACAACCAGCAAACAAGGGACACATGGTGTACTGTTTCCTATTTGCACATCTCTGTAGCTAAACAAAAGGCACATGCCCAATTTCGAGAATATATCCGTTTCTCCCCCCACCTACACACCATGCATTTAAAGCTATCCAACACACATTTTAAGCGTATTACTTCCTCCAAAGATTCCTGGGAACTGTAGTGTGTTGGGGTGATGGGAATTGTAGCTCTATGAGGGGAGGAACTACAGTTCCCAGGATTCTCTGGGGAAATACATTTTAAATGTGTATTGGATATGCTTTAAATGTACGGTGTGGATCTGTTTCTCTTTCTCTAATGTTAAACCCAGACTTGACCACAGTGAACTTTTGTGTGTGTAAAACTTCACACTTCACAACTGATCTTGCTTTCAACAATTTCCTGACTTGTATATAGATTTGACTATATAAATTTTGTTTTCAATCTGCAGAACTGTAAACAAAGCTTTTGTCACTTCAAGGTCATTTTAAGTCCTTCCTAAGTAAAGTACGGGATGCGGATGGCGCTGTGGGTTAAACCACAGAGCCTAGGACTTGCTGATCAGAAGGTCAGAGGTTCGAATCCCTGCACGGGGTGAGCTCCCGTTGCTCGGTCCCTGCTCCTGCCAACCTAGCAGTTCGAAAGCACGTCAAAGTACAAGTAGATAAATAGGTACCGCTCCAGCAGGAAGGTCAACTGCGTTTCCGTGTGCTGCTCTGGTTTGCCAGAAGCGGCTTAGTCATGCTGGCCACATGACCCGGAAGCTGTATGCCGGCTCCCTCAGCCAATAAAGTGAGATGAGCGCCGCAAACCCAGAGTCGGCCACGACTGGACCTAATGGTCAGGGGTCCCTTTACCTTTAAGTAATGTACACAATTTCCAGGGTTTTGAAATTAACACTTTGTGTTTTGTACTGGATTTTCTCTGTTTCCTTTTAATAAGTAATTTTAATATTAATAGATTATTTATGATGAATTGTATTTACTCTTTGATGCTAACAGTCTTTTCATATAGATTACTACTCGTCAACCTGTATGATATTTCGTGAGCAAATATTTCTATTCTTATCCATTCATTGTTATTACCTTTTGTTTACGACGGTGCTTAATAATAATATATTTTTAAAATTGTAGTCACATCACAAAAAAGAAACTATGTAGAACTGCACAATATATGTGCCTCAGATCCTGACAATTTAACAATTTCTTACATTTCAGGGCAAAAGTCCATTCTTGTGGAAGCTTTTAAGCCAAGCTTAGGGGATTATAATGTTAAGCATTCATTTATTTCCATGCAGAATATCCACGAGACTGCAGTGAGATCTTTAAGCAGTCTGAAGAAAACTCCAGAGATGGTCTATATGTCATTCAGCCAGCAAAGGAGCCTATTGGTGTGTACTGCAACATGCAAGATGGTGGCTGGACAGTAATTCAGCACATTACTGCCAACAGTACAGTGGACTTCGATAGGACATGGCAGGACTACAAACATGGATTTGGCACAATTAACGACAACTACTGGTTAGGCAATGAATACATGCATCAGCTAACCAGCTCTCCAAGGCCATATACACTTAGGATTAAACTTGTAGACCTAAATGCCAATATCAAGTGGGGAGAATATGAGCCCTTCCGCATTGAAGATGAAGCTTCTCAGTACCGAATCAGGCTTGGTCTGTATAAAGGTAATGCCGTCGACGCCCTGTGTCGTGACACAGAAGCATATCTCCACGATAACCAGATGTTCACAACAAAAGATAGAGATAATGACAACTATTTTCAGAACTGTGCCAAACTTGAGTACAACGGGATTGCTGGGGGAGGCTGGTGGTATGATGCTTGTGCTGGAGCGAATCTAAATCGCAGGAATGTCATCTACTGGCAGCAGGACTGCAACAAAGAGCACGTGTGCAAGTATGCCTGGATGATGGTCAAGCCAGTGGACCACAGCCAGGAGTGGCTCAAGGCTTGCCCTACTGAGAAGGAGGAATTGTAGGCAACAGTAAGAAATTAAATCCAGGTGGAGAGCTGCTGTTTCTTCAACTTGTATGTAGAAGCCGCCTTTTTCCTTTGCTGGGATTGTGTTTGAATATAGAAATGAAATTAGCCCCAGCACAAAAATAAAGACCACATGACAAGATGTGAAAAATGGAGGACCCCAGAATTTAATTCCCCCGTTCCTCCCATTGTAGTAGTAAATCTTGAGTGATGGCCCAATAGTGAGAGAGAGAGATCTAGACATTATGAATATGCTGGGAGATGTGAGTTAAATTCACAAATTATAGTGTGCTGATAAGATTACCAAGCGGTTGTGAGCGTAAGTAACAGAGGATAAGTGATAGATTGAAAATATAGAGAGACAATTAAACATATAAATCCATAAGATATATTTAGTAATCAGGAGAAATGAAATATGGATATTACATAGGCTTAAAGGTAAGGGTATACATTAGGGACCTTGAAAAATCACGAGACTTGCAATTATTTCCTCTGCTTTTCCCCACTGTTGCCCGTGAAAATACATATTTTCTCTTGCCTTTCATCTTCAGCAGTTCATTCAAATAGTGTTGTTTGAGCTGTTGCTGTCTTCAAAGGAAGGAAGGAAGGAAGGAAAAACAAAAGCAATTACTTTAAAGTCACAAAGCTGCATGATCCCATTGAAACAGTTTGCTGTATGAGGTTCCTCAGGTTCATGAAGTGATAAATTAGGCTCTTAATGATAAAGGTTCACAGCACAGCAAAAGAGTTGAGAGGCCACAACAATATATATCTTTTTTTTTGTCCATATGGCAGTTTGGCTGCTATTGTGAGCAAAAACAGGGTTGCTTGTTGTCAGGAAGATTGCAGCACTGGATCCTTCTGTAAGTAATTAATCACCAAATACTTCATAAAGGCAGAAGAAATGGTAGCTGATAATATGCATTATGTTCAAGAACAGTTCCACTTCATGAATGTTGAAGGAGATTGGGTGCACTAATGTGCATGTCTGAGATATTCCATCCAACAGAGGCCAGTGATGTATATGAGTATATTGTATTGCAACACAGTTAAAGATTCATCTTTTGTGCAGGGACAGTTGCAAATGAATCATAATTTCGCAACACCTGTTTGTGAATGCATGTGTTGTAGTTTCATTGTAAAGGTACAAACAATCTTTTATTGTCTTTCCCTTTTCATCTATTTTCAGCTAATATCTTTTAAAAAGTGTAATTAGCATGTATTTTCAGAGCTCTCATCATTACCTGTATCTTCTCTGGCATTTTCATTCCTTGTTTTAAATTCTTTCAGATGAGACTAAATATATCTCTATTGTCACTTACTTGCTAGCCTATATTTCTAAAATAGCAAAAACAAGATTTTTGTTGTTGTTGTTGTTGTTGTTCTTATTTAATGGCAACATTCTACCATTCTCTCATTTCTGATTACAGGCCCCAGATTATTAGTATTACAGACCTCCCTGGTAGTTATACTTTCTCTATAAACCACAATGGTATATATAGTTTGCTGTACTCAACACCGGGAACATTTAATCAAAGTAGTCCGTATTCTTACTACTGCAAAATACAACATTTTATATATAAAATTAATGTGAGTAACTGCAGCCTAGTTCTCAACTGAGCCCATAAGTACAAGTTCCTTTCATGAGCAGATGAGATAGTTGGAGGTGTGAACGATGTGATTAATTTCTAAGCAATTAATTAATGGAATGCCTTTCATAGTGTTTTGCCTCTTCTTGAAAGATGTCCAGCTATTGTGAATCAATTCATTTTAAAATGGATTGTTAAGTGTGTGTGTATGTGTGTGTGTGTGTGTAAACTACAGCAACATCTAAAAAGATTTTAGATTAACAATCACAAAATGGAGAGAGGGAAAAGTCTGTATGTCCAATAATTCTTCTTTAATAGGGAAACGAAGAGGGGATGAAGTGTACAATCAAATACCGATACCGATAATTTAAAATCCCCAGTATAAATGGACTCACACCTGATTTACTTTGGAACAGGTGAATTAAGAATTGGGCCTATTGTGTGGACAAGTACACATGGATATGCACTGTTTACACACATCAAACATAATCCAGTCAAAATTATTCACTGATTTGGATACAAAGGTGCTCATGGTTGACCGATATTTTAGCCAAGTTCCCTTTTCCTCTCCATCTCTTTGCCTACAACACACCTCATGCCATTTTTTTAAAGGTTTTCCAGTCCTCATGAACTGCTTTTGGGAAGATGCAAAGGATCACAATAGGAAGGGAAAGACAGGAAAGTCACATTCCATGAAGAGGATTAGTACTAATCAGGATGCAAAGTACTGCTTTTTAAGGAAGAGAGTTACGCATGCTAAAGAGTCAGTATAAACCACTGATCTTCAGCATGACCCAAAACTGGATCATAGCCTGATCTAAGGTGAGTTGCAATGGTAAGGTAAGGTAAGGTAAGGTAAGGTAAAGAAGTAAGAAGAAGTAAGGTAAAGAAAGCACCCTGACCACTATGCAAATTGAAAATGAAAAAAACAGTCTTCCAAATCCATGTTTGGATTAAAGATCTGGAAAGTTTGAAGACTACTAGTCTAAACAGTTAAAAGAAGTACATGGTTCAGGTGTCTGAGGACCATACCCTTTCAGAACACAGGCAAGAAAGGCACGTGTTTGAATGCTCCTCAGTGTAAAAATACAACACACATAATAAGCACATTACAGCAAGGATTAACATTTCTTCCTGACCTACTAGATTTCCATGGATAGGAGTGGCTTGTTAGGAGTTTTTGCATTGTTCTATCCTTCCTGCATTCTGAAAGGGTATTCTGCTAGGCTGGCCCTACCATGTACTTTTTCTAAATATATGGATTGGTCCTAGTCGTGGATCAGCCATTATGGATCACTCCACAAAGGAGTGGAGTCGGATCTGAAAGAACAACACACTTAACATGAGAGGGGGAGCCAGAGGTGTTTTCCTAGACCATCTTGGCAAGATTTAGCCATCAGTATGAGGGGATGCCTCAGGGCTTGACAGTATGTATGGAGAGCAGGAAAGAATTTATTTACTCTGCAGTATTCCGGCTATGGGACGCGGGTGGCGCTGTGGGTAAAACCTCAGTGCCTAGGACTTGCTGATCGCAAGGTCGGCGGTTCGAATCCCGTGGCAGGGTGAGCTCCCGTCGTTCAGTCCCAGCTCCTGCCCACCTAGCAGTTCAAAAGCACCCCTTAGTGCAAGTAGATAAATAGGTACCGCTTTATAGCGGGAAAGTAAACGGCGTTTCCATGTGTGGCGCTGGTGCTGGCTCGCCAGATGCCGCTTAGTCACGCTGGCCACGTGACCTGGAAATGTCTCCAGACGGCGCTGGCTCCCAGCCTCTTGAGCGAGATGAGTGCACAACCCTAGAGTCGGACACGACTGGCCCGTACGGGCAGGGGTACCTTTACCTTTACCTTTTTATTCCGGCTATAGTGGAATGGGATCAGCTCCTGTTCTTCTGTAGAATGGCAAAGACCCTCTTATACCCCACAGATTTCTCCTCAAGAAAATGTTATCACTGTACTGTAGGAAGTGGCTCTCCTGGAGCTCTGGCTGAGGAAAGTGCTCCTGAAACTTTCAATATAATCTGTTTAGACATATCCAAATATATATATCCCAGTTTTTCCTCTCACTTCTGTTACACAAGGATACTAACATCATGTAAGTTTAATACAATCATATAATATTAAAGCAGCAAAACACAGATGATGATGCAGTAAGTTTTTTTTAAAAAAAAACAACTTTAAAAATCCATATGGAGAAGCCAGTTGGGTCAAAGGCCTGCTGGAACAGACAATCCTTAAACTCTATATTTGAACTCTGCTATCGGGTGCAGACAAACTCCCAGGACAAAGAGGACCCGAAGCCTGGGTGCTATAACAGAAAGAGGTATTTCTCTTGTTCTCACCAACTGTACTTGTGATGATGGTGGGAGACAAACCAGGACCTCTCTTGATGATCAGAATGAATGGGCAGTCTCAGATGGAAGGAGAATGTTCTTTAAGGGGTCTTTTGCTAAAGGCTCTTATATTATCCATCTGTGAAACACTAGAACACCAGTTTGACCAAGGCTGAAATTAGTAGAGGGACACATTGCAACTGAAAAATTATTTGTGTTGAAGGCAGAATCTGCTCTTCCTGGAACCTGATGCTGTAGCTACCTCAGGCAGTCTTTTGACCCACCATTTTCCACTTCATTCTTCTGCTCTCTGCCCCTTGGACTTAACCTACTTGTTATAAGGGCTTTGGAAGAAGCACGTGGCCTCATTTCTGCTTGTGTATAAAGCCGATAGATAACTATCTCCAGCCTTCACTCAGCGCTTTCATGCTGCCCTCAAGATGTTAGTACTTGTCAGTATAGCTCCCAGACATGGAATCAGGCGAGATTTCAGCCCCAAGCATGAACCAGAACCAGGGAAGACAAGGGAGCCTTGGAGGCAACCCCTAAGACCATACCCTAGGACAATACCCCATATTCAGGAAACCAGCAGAATTAAGGAACCTAATGTGCCCCAACTGGATGTGCCAATACACCAGGAAGGGGGATCTAATTTGAGTGGCTGAACCCTCAGTTATTGTCGGTAAGATGCTGATACAATAACGTCCATGCATCTGCTCCTAGTCTAGCTACTTTCAGGACAGCTCTTCTAGGTCTAGGTCATCTATGGACACAGCAGACATATTTGCAAATACAAGGCAGATTGTCCTCCTCCTCCCCCATTTTGGAAACAATGTAGAAGTGTCATCAAACAGCACTACGCAGTCCAGCTCCCTTTTGTTTCCCTGCCCTAGGAGAGCTTGCCTGCTTTTGCTGCCCATCTTTAGTTTCACAGTCAGCAGTGCTTCACAAGTCAGCCAGTTGCCCTTATAACCTCCCAGTTGGAGTCTTTTGACCTTTGCTTCAGAGAAGAATGGGACTCCGGTGGGAAATAACCACACTGTTTAATCACCACAGTTAGTTCTTTCCTATAAAGATGACCATAGTGGTCTTTATGTGGTATGGGAATACAGTTACCCCATAATAGTTTCCCATGCAACTATGTTACTAAACATATAAATGGAATCTTTAAGAATCCTGATTTTTAGAGGAGGGATGAGGAACCTACAGACCTACAGTAATTGTCAAACTACAACCCCCATCATCGCTGTCCATTGGCCATGCAGGCTGAGGCAGATGTGAAGTGGAGCCCAACATGTTCTTAAGGGTCACAGGTTCTAGAGCAATAACTTACAAGTGTCTGCAAAAAAAAAAGTATACATTTTAAGAAATAATTTAGAATGGTTTTTGTTTCTGCTCTTTCTGTTCTTTCAAAAATAAAAAAAAATAAAAGTTGTGGCTCTATATTGTTGTTGGATAGCTTTCAGCTGTCCCCCTTGCCTTTTTTGTTATGAAACCCCAGTATTAAAAAAGCAATAAACACACACCATTTTTAATACAGTTCCAGATATTTACAATGTATCCCAGAGTTTGGCAGTGTCATGTCTGAGTTTTTAGCAGCATAGGTTGAGCACATACTTAACAGTTACACTTAACTGATACTTTGGCATCCATCACTGTGTAGTCTTATACATCTACTCAACAAACGGACCATAAACATTTATAAAACATTCCTGCTCAACAGAAACTGTGACAAAAATAACTTCCCATTTAACTTCAATAATAGAAGGCAAAGCTTTTCTTTAGCAATAACATTGCAGCTAGCAGAAAACTTTTACAGTCTTATATAGTCATTATTACATAGCTTGTATAATAGAAATGCAGGTTAGTTTGAACCAAGCACACATATCATACGCATATGTATGTTTGTTTGAAGCCAGTATAACTCAAAGTATACACTATACACAGAAAATGCTTTGATGGTGACTGAAGAAAAGAAACAGAGGTCTCTATAGTAACTTGCACTTTCCTTTAACAATTATATGCAAAAGCACCAAAAACAGTTGGCACAATACAATATACTTAAAATTGATCATATTGATTCCAGAATACACATTTTCACATTATTATACAGTGAGTTTAAATAATATCCAATACCCCTGCAAAAAATTCAATCTTTTGCAAACAACTCACTTAACCGTCAAGTTATTCACAACATTGTTTATTTCTATAGCTGTGGAGAAACCCTTTCTTTCCTGCTTCTCTAGCTCTTAATGAAAATATTTTTTACTTCAGTGGAAGCAATGACAAATACACAATAACTCTCATGAAATGTGCTGTGTTATCTCTGAACTATGCAACACTATATTTTACAACTGTATTATTACCATACTAAGCTATGAATGCGGATGATATGATAGAGATGCAGCCTAACACTCAAGCTGTGCACTCGTACATTCTTGAAGACCAAAGCAGAATCATCATCCAAAGCCCTAGTCCAGGTCCATTGACGCTGGGAAGCACATCTGGCAATAATCAGGATGAGGGCCTTTTCTGTTGTGCTGCCCATCCTAGGGAATGGCTTTCCATAGACCCCATGACTGTATTGTTTTAGATGGCTAATAAATAAAATATATTAGGCTGTTTAAAAGGTTTCTGAGCAGTTGTTCTCTTTCTGCTGGCTTACTTTTGATGTCTTAGTTTCAATGGGTGTTTTGTATTTTGTTGTGGGGGTTTGGCCTTGGTGACAATATTTGTGATTTTAATGGGAATTGTTATATATTTTACTATTGTTTCGTGTTTTTGGATTGCAGCTGCTTTGCGTTTCTTTGAAATTTAGGCAGGGGATAGATAGATAGATAGATAGATAGATAGATAGATAGATAGATGGATGATAGATAGATAGATAGATATAGATATAGATAGATATTAACAAATGCATACATAGACATTGTTATAGTCCATCTTTAAATTGCATGAGTGCATGAGTTAGTGCACTGTCTGCTATTGAACTACAATAATCCATGTGTCCCATGAAGCTTTGCATCTTTACAGGTCTATATAGTCAATAATGCAAACCTGGCTGTTCAGCGTTTGCTGGAATGTATCTTAATGCTGCTTTGCACCTTAATATTAGTTCCCAACTGAGCCCCATATGCACCCCATATAAACCACATTCCTTCTTCACTCCAGAGGAGGGGACATTTCCATACAAAGCACATTTGAAGCATATTTTCCCTCTCAAAGAATTCTGGTCACTGTAGTTTGATAAGGGTTGCTAGGAATTGAAACTCTGTGAGGGGCTAATGTGCTTCAAATGTGCTTTAAAGATATAGTGTGGGGAGCTGGTGGGGAGCTCTGGGTGCACATCATATTTCCAATACTTGGCAATACAGTAAATCAGGGTACTGGGGTAGAATTTCTAGGCCTTTTAACATTTTAAATCATGAACTTACTAAACTCTTATATAAATATCAGTTTGTTTCCATATAAGTTATTTTCACCATAGTTTGTACATCCTGACTTCCCATTGCCGTTGTTTTCTTTCTGTCCCATCAGTTTATTTTGATAGCTGATTTTAATTGCAGTTCTCAGACCAGTTACTCTGTAATTATCCCAGTTACTGCCTTTATTTTGTCAGATCATCATCTCTACTGAAATGCTCGTGTTGTCGTAAGTAGTCTGCGGTATAAAAAGAGGCACTATAATAGCCATTATGTATACAACATTTCTATCCAGACATATCCTCAGCAAACTCCTGATAGAGTTACCTACTTTGTGCTAGGGATTGAGGCATTCAAGTACAGTATTGCCACCCAAAAAACACAGGACAGAAAGGTAGGTGATTTTACTCCTCTCTCTTTTTCAAATTGCTGTTGTTGCTTTTGACTGGTATGGGCTATGTGATTCATGGAGAAAGGTGACTCAAACTATTCAATGAGTATATGTTTGTAAGGTTATTGATGTAAATTGTGTAGTGTTAAGTGCTAGCTGAAATACATGTTTCACAAGCAGGACCTGTTGCATCTTTAAGCAGTACTGTACCATATCTTTTTTTAATACTGGCAACCTAATTCATTGATTTCAAATGATTTACTGCCAATAAATACATTTCAAGATCAGGGTGGAAAATCTTAGACCTAAAATGAGGAACCTATGGATAAATTAAATAAAAGTAAGTGCAGGGCTTTTTTTTCTAATAAAATGTTTAGGGGAACTCTCATTTCCCTACTCATATTGAAATACTGTCCCTCAATGAGGTCAAACTTAGATTCACAAAATGTTTAGGGTATGTGTACCCCTGCGTAACCCCAGAAAAAAAAGCACTGGTAATGTGTAGTACTTAACCTCATTCATAAGCAAGTTTCAGCTCATAACTTAAGATTGCAGTCCTGAACTCCTATACTTGGAAGTTCTACCGAAATCAAAAGGATTAAGATGTTGCTTAATGTGCTGCAAAACGCCTACACGGAAGGCAACTCACAGTGCAATCCTAACCATGACTACTCCAAAGTAAGTCATATTGAATTCAATGGGGCTTACTCCCAGGTAAGTGAGGTAGGATTGCTGATTCACAGTGTAGGAAATAAAATGCAACCCACACAGAATCATAGGATTGTAGAGTTGGAAGGAACCAAGAGAGTCATCTAGTCCAACCCACTGCAATGCAGGAATCTTTTGCACATTTGGGTGCTAAGATAGTTCTTCAGAATGGCAATAAAGAAGCGATTTTACCTTTCTCTTAGAAGCCATACATCGGCTTGCATCAATATACTGTACAGGATTTTAAAAATAAAACTCCTTCGGAGCAACTTCAACATGAACAAATAAAATGCAAAAAGACAATTAACTAGTACCCTTGTTTGTAGGCAATGTAAACATCTCTGACAAACTCGGTACCCCCATTGGCTTCTTAATTTGCAAAAAAAACCCCAACCATACAGTTTACATCATATAAGCCATCTCTCAGCCATAGAAAAAGAACAATGCAAACTCAAACAATGTTCATGGCCTCACAACTAATTCCAAGAGCAAATTTGTCCATTGAGGAAAAAATCTCAGACATTTATCGTTGGCCAGTGGTACTAGCCTTCCTTTTGTTTCCATCCAGTTTAGAAACAATTCTGTACGGGAAGTTGATGCAAGTGTCATTCTATTGGAGACCTATAACTAAACTGGACAAAGCCTTAGAAAAAATGTGCAGGAAGGCATAATGTTACTTTCCAGGTAGTGGACCTAATGAATGAAGGGTCTATTCCATACCCAACCATTAAGGTCTGTTGGTGTGCCATTTTATTTGGCAAACATGTGGAAGGAAACTTTCTATGACAGCAACATAAATAATGCTCTATTTAGTAGTCACAGACAATTATAGAAATGTTCATCATTGTGGCTGCTTTCTTCATGGCCATAGGCATATCTTTATCACCACACAAATTGTGCATCTTTTGTCTCCAGACATGCAAAGCAACAACTTTACAATGAAAGACTTGCAGCCAATTTGATTTACAGTGCTTGGCCAAGGTCTGTCCCCCCCCCAAACACTTTAAATTAAGGCAGTTTAGTATTACCCTGCCAGTATAATTTTTCTTCCATTTTTTTCTTCTTCCACTGACAGAACAGCAACAACTTAAATGTCTTTCTGAATGTTTTGTTACAGAGAGCATAGCAGATTGGGTTAACAGTACTATTCACATAGCACAGCCAGTAGCCAAGGTGCCACAGCGTTGGGGGAATACAATCTGAGCAGAATGTGGAGACCAAAACCATGATATTGTAGGGTGTCCAAGTGATTATGAAAGCTAGAAGAATGGCGCTTAAAGTTTGGGCTGCTTTGCGCTCCTTTATGAGGACCATTCTTTTCCTTTTAGTAATTTGATTGTTTATATTTGGATCCATGTTTTTGACGGAAGTCGTGTCCTTAGATAAAGTGGCAGAACAAGGAGTGATCTTTACTTTTCGGCAGCCATTGTTAGTTTCTTTGGCACCATCAGCTTTAACCACCAATCGGAACTTATAAGCTACACATTTACTACTTTTTTTAACGTGGCCTTTGGTTGGGGTTAGAAAATATTTGGGGGTCTCATAGTCATTTTCCCCAGGATGGTCTTTGATAAAGGCTTCCTTTTTCTCCTCTTTATGTTCATCATCCTTGCTTTTTACTGGAGACTTATAAGCTACTTGAAAGACGGGATCAGAGGCAAGTTTATCCTCCTCTTCTGAGGATGCATAGCTGCTGCAAGTGGTGAGCTGGTCCGCCTTAGACCAGTCATGACAGGTATTTTGAATCTGACATGCCTTTGCTGTTGCTGAAGTACTTCGGCTGGATGAAGACCATGAAGCCTGACATCTCTCCCTTTTGGCTAAATTTTGTTGCTTGCAGCTAAAGCAGGATTTTAGCAAAGCTTTCTGAGGCTTTATCATTTCGAACTCAGCCACAGAACTGGATCCTTGAAGTTCGGCCAGGTCCTTGGTCCGTTTCTCAGTCTCTCTATAAATACGGCAATACAAAATAGTCATCACAGAAACTGGGATATAGAAAGCAGCAATCGCAGTACCAAAGGTGATGATGGGTTCATACAAAAATTGAATCTGGCATTCTCCAGGCGGGACAGTTCGTTCCCCGACGAAATACTGCCAACATAAGATTACTGGTGCCCACAGGATAAATGAAATTAGCCAAGCTAGGCCAATCATGATGCCAGCCCTTTTCGGTGTGCGTTTAGCCCTGTAGGTTAATGGCCGTGTAATAGAAAAATATCGGTCGAAGCTGATAACCAGTAAATTCATTACTGAGGCATTGCTAGCTACATAATCCAGGGCTAGCCACAAGTCACATGCTAGACTCCCAAGAGACCAGTACCCTATTAATATGTAGGATGTATAAAGATTCATAGAAAATATTCCAATGATAAGGTCTGCACACGCAAGACTGAGTAAATAGTAATTGTTCACCGTCTTGAGCTGGCTGTTGACTTTGAAGGATATCATCACAAGAACATTCCCCACTATAGTTATTAAGCTTAAAATGGCCGTCACTGTAGCAATGGTAATTACTTCCCAAAGGCTATGACCTTCTAAATGCTTATGGTTAGGGGTTGTACCATTGACAATGGTTGAATTGCTGTGCAATTTTTCTTCCATTCTTTTTCTTGGCGTATTAACATCAGTCCCTTTTAAGTTGCTTCTTCATCTGTACTTTGAAGATACCTTTTTAATGACAAATAAAGAGAAAGAAAGCTCGTAAAATAATAATGGACTCCTGCCAGATTTATTAAGCACAAGCAAATTGTAAGACCGTTGGAGTATCAATTATAAATTACGACTTCTAAAGATATTTAAATATTATGTATTCAAGTTTAGAGACACAAAATAGGCTTGGTAATGTTTCCCAGCCAACCTTTGTTGCTATAGGAGAGTCTTCCCCAACTTGGTGCACTCCAGATATTTTGGAATACAACTCCCATCATTCCTGACCATTGGCCATACAGCCTGGGATTTATGGGACTTGTAGTCCAAAAAATATCTGGAGGGCACTAGATTTAGGAAAGGCTTCTGACATAAGTGAAATATTCAATATTAATTTTTGAATTCTTACTTTAACTATTTAATATGAACAATTAAATATATTTTGTATTCTTTTTCTCAAACTATTGTGGTTAAAAAAATCAACTAGTATTAAACACAGGGCCCCCAATTTGCAGTAGGACAACAGTGAGGCAGGGCACATTTAACCTATGATACCAATGAACTCATAGGGACGCGGGGGCGCTGTGGGTAAAACCTCAGTGCCTAGGACTTGCCGATTGTATGGTCGGCGGTTTGAATCCCCGCGGCGGGGTGAGCTCCCGTCGTTCAGTCCCAGCTCCTGCCCACCTAGCAGTTTGAAAGCACTCTTAAGTGCAAGTAAATAAATAGGGACCGCTTTATAGCGGGAAGGTAAACGGCGTTTCCGTGTGCTGCGCTGGTGCTGGCTCGCCAGCTGCAGCTTCGTCACGCTGGCCACGTGACCCGGAAGTGTCTTCGGACGGCGCCGGCTCATGGCCTCTAGAGCGAGATGAGCATGCAACCCTAGAGTCGGACATGACTGGCCCGTACGGGCAGGGGTACCTTTACCTTTACCAATGAACTCTAGATGTGATGTTTAATGGTACCATAGATTCAGGGAACAAGTTGTATTGACAGTGTTTTACAGATAGGTAAATGCATAAAGGAACAACTATTTTAAAAGTCCACACACACACAAGTTGTGACACAGGGGTCAATCTCCTTTCAATTCAATATGGGTCCTGAAGAAATTAATTCCCTGCATTTGCTGTTAAAATAAAGCCTTGATGTGGTTTTTAATTATACAGTCTAACGACATCTGGAGGGCCGCATGTTTGCCACCCCTGCTGCAATAAAAGAAAAATTTGAAGAGTGGCACAATATGCAGAATTTTTTAAAGAAAGCAATGGAAGACTAAAGTCCTGGTAAAGAGACAAGTGGAGTATGTGCTGTTCAGTAGCAGTAAAATTTTATTCTATTTATTTATTTAATTTGTATACCACACTACATTTGTAGATCTCATGGTGGTTCACAACATAAAATGCAATATAAAAACACAAAATACATAATAAAAACAAGAACACAAAATCCCACTCCTTGCTTTAACAGCGACTAAAATATATACAAAACAAAAAAATTCCTTCCAGTAGCACCTTAAAGACCAACTAAGTTAGTTCTTGGTATGAGTTTTCGTGTGCATGCATATTAAAAAATGCAGTAAGGTTCCTTCTTGATGCAAGAATGTAAAGTTTCTTCATTTCAGCTACAGCAACAGTGGTCCCCTGAACAAAGCTATCATACATGATTGACTACAGACTCTTAATGGAAAGGCCAACTCAGGTCATTTTCCACAATTAAAAAAAAAATCACCACTTTAGAAAATAAAGTCCTAGCTGACTAAGGACTGCAGGGGAAGAAAAGCAATGAGCTCACTGTAATGGAGGAGTGACTATTAATCATATTTGGCTGTTAAGATCTTAAAGTGTCACCTATCTGCATCAATTCAAAATGATCAAGTTCTCTGAGACTGTATTTTGCCTTACAAAAGTAATTTCTGCTGATGGGTTTGTTTCCAATACAACCAAGAGGCAAAGCAAAATGTTAGACATCGCTATAGCTTTAAAGCTTTTCAACTTGGTTCCCATGTTATGAAAGCAGTGCACAATAATTACATGCAATGCAAAGAAGTTTATGCAATGCCTGAGTAATAACTACATGTAGTTTGCAATTGATTGCACTATATTTGGGATAATGTTCATTTGAGCAGGGTATTTGTGACTAAATAGCCAGTTATTGCACCAGTACTATTGGATTTACTGTAAGATTTCTATCTATTCTAAGAAGCAGTGAATTCCTTTCTTTTGGATCAGCTTCCCAGAGGATACTGTACAATGTTTGGATTGCTCTAAGACCATTTCATGTGCTACTAAATAGTGCTCAAATTAGTTCTTAACACACTTTCATGGCCATAATGCATATGCATACTCAATTTCAAGATGGCTCCCCTCTCCAAATTCTGAAGCAGATGAAAGCACCTTTCATACATGAAAAAAATAGTGTGCAAGAGATTCAGATGTAGTTTTTAGAGCTGTGTGTGAAATGGTTCTTAGAAATAATGTCCCATAAAATTGTAGCACATAGCACATAGCAGAAGTGGATTTGGGGGGAGTGCAACTGGTTTGGGCGCATTTGGTGTGGAGCCTCGGGGGTGCTGCAGGGGGCGCGACAACTATGATGTAAAATGAAAGGTTAGATGTCGTGGGGTTGGCACTGAATTTTAATGCTGCCCCTGAAATTTGAGACCACTGCCTATAGCATCTAGAAGGCACCACATTGACTCCCTCTGTCACAGAGCATAGGACCGCACTCAGATTAAGAGGTTACTCCATCAGATACAGAGATCAAGTGGGCACTGCATTCCTTTGCTCTGGAACCAAGCCATTAGCATTAGCTTCAGGGTTTTGTGGGAATCAGAGTACTCATGAATTCCCCTTTCCCTTTGACTATTGTTTCTGATCCTCCTCCTTGCTGTTTTGTTGCTGCCATCCTATAGTGGGGATTGGACAAGGAATGAGCTGTCAGGCAAATACCGTAGTTAGGCAGGCAAGTAATGACTGTCAGTGAGGTAGGTGGCTGCTGCAAAAAGTGGATGTGACAAGGTAGTGAGCAGCTGCCTCCTTCGTTCAAACACTGCTGCTGTCATATCACACATAATATTGCTCCTCTTGATTGCCTTTCTGAGCATGTGCACACGATTTAACCAAGATGGTGGTAGTTTCTCAGGTCAGGTTTCTTTGTTAGTCTGTGAGGCTTGCTCAGGAACTTTGCTGAGCTTGGGCCTGGCTGCTGTTTCATCCTAGGGGAGAACTTCTCTGAGGTGCCTAAGTCCTGTGTAACTGCAATGCGCTTTGGAGAGAAGCAGAAAAGGAGGCACAGCCATTAACAAATTTTCTTGTGATCAATCAATCCTAAAACCACCCAGTGGGTTCTCATTCCTAACACAGATTTGGAGCAGCTGCACGCAATAAGCATTTCTGCTTTGATTTTAGTGGCATGTTGGGCAGATCTGTCTGAGCACATCACCATGGTCACAGCTACTGATTAACATGCACAGTGGCATGCTCATGCATAATTCACCATGGCAACTTTAAATATGTAGTGACCATGAAAGTTACTGCCAAATTTTTTTGGGGGGGGGGCCAAGCACCTCAAAATTGTTATGAATCAGCTCCCGAGGCTAGCGTTCTGGAATCCACATGACACATTATTTAGGATGCTGTTTATGGTTGTTCTCTCAACAGCTTAATGTGGATATATTGCTACTTTCATTATGTTTAATTGTGGATTATGTTACCTGATTTGTGAGGCATTTCTTTGGGGATTATTTCAGGGAACTTTCATTTGTGAAAGAGATGCAAGCCAGATATTAGTATTGCATTTACCAAGTCACATTCCAATGGGATTTACTCCCAAGTACAGTATGCAGTTTTAGGATCGAGGAGCTCTGAGCTGGTGATATCCCCCAGTTAAAAACAAATCTTATAATTAATCTTGGAAGTCTAGAAAAACCACAGCAACTAAAAGATGCGGCCGCAAAGAGCGGAGGTTCTGTTGCGTTTGCATCAAATGCGCCGCGTTTGCGACCGTTTCCCGTTCACTGCAGACAGCGAGGCGCGCTTCGCGATTCTTCGCCCGGACTTCCGAGAGGAGCCAGGATCGCTAGGCCCAAGCCTGGCGCGGCCCCCAGTTCCTCCTCTCCCGACGGAGGCAGCCAGCTTCCCGCAGGAGGCGGGGAGACGGGCCTGGAGAAAGGCGGCTGCGAGGAGGAGCGGGCCGGACCCGAAGTAGCTGCCATGCAGCAGCCCGAACGCGGCGGCGGCGGCAGGCCCCAACGGGGAGGCGGCGGCCGGCAACCCCATCGTCGGCGGCCGGGCGGGCGAGAGAGGCCGGCGGAAGGCGCCGGAGGCGGCAGCAGCAGCGAGGCCGGTCCCGGCCGAGGAGGCGGGAGCCGGGGGAGAGGCGGGGGGAGAGGAAGAGGCAGGCGGGACGCTCGCGGCAAAGGGCCCGCCGCGCCTGCCTCCGCCCCTCACGGTTATGAATCGGTAAGGAAAAAGAGGCACACACGAGGCCGAGGCGGAGCTAAAGTAGACCCCCCCCACGGCTTCTCTGTGGCAAAGCTTTCTTATCTGAGGCTCCGCCGAGGCTGTTACTATCTCCCTCTCACTTAGCAACCAGATTCTACCTACAGTAATATGTTAGGGGTTACATACATACATAGTGTGTATGTTTCGGGTGTGTGTGTTATATATTTATATATACATATATACTGTGCTTTTTTCTGGGGGTAAGCAGGGGTACGCATACCCCCCTAAACATTTTGTGAATCTTTGTACTTTGGTCCATTTACTGTATTTATTTTTCCTGATTTGAACTATAAAATGGTGGTTTTCTTGAGTCAAAAGGAGAATACCCCTAAACATTTTTTTTAATATAAAAAAGCACCGCATATATAGATACATATAGTGCATGGGTAGGCAAACGAAGGCCCGGGGGCCAGATCTGGCCTTCTCAATCCGGCCCGCAGACGGTCCAGGAATCAGCGTGTTTTTACATGAGTAGAATGTGTGCTGTTCCTTTTGGATTGTGGTAGATTTTGACTATAAGCAATAAAGTTCATAACAGAATTTAAATTAAGTAGGATTACCAAATGTGATTTATTTTAAGGGGTGTTCATTATTTTAGAATATTACAAGTAATGCCCTTAAAATTTTTTATAGTTCTATAGAATCACTAATATTTCAACAGACAAACCTAAGATATTTGCACAGTTATTTATAGCAGTGCAATTAAACTATTTTGGTTTGAATGTTTTTGCTTATTTTTTATGATGCTTCTATGAAGCATTTCAAGTGGTCCTTAAATTATTATTACAAAATGCAAAAAGATAGATTATTGTCCCTACTAGAGGTAGGCAGCTAATTACAGTACAGGGAATACTGAGGAAGGGAGACACAATGGTAACATTTCTTTTAAAAAGAGGTACTGAAGTTTACTTTTAAAATTTATTGTAATGAGTCCTACCTGGAAGCATGCCATGCATCTTGGAAACTCCGCTCCTTCTAATGTGTAGGAATAGGCTGCAGTTGTTCAGTGGTGCCTTCCTTGGTCACATGTCTTTATTGTGGCTTCTCATCCCAGGGCTAAGTTGTTGAAAACAGATTGTGTGGTTGAGCTCCGCCACAAATTAAACCCTGTTTTTAAGCCTCAAAATCTGATGCAAGTAATACCCATGCAAAATATTTTGGTTTAAAAAGATACTCCTTTGCATTTAAAACAGGAGTGAAAAATAGAGCCAAAGTCTATAGTCGCCTCCAAAGGTTAAAACATACAATGAAGGAACCAAGCTGAAGGTGCAAAAATGAGTGGTTAATAGCATTACTTATAGATAAATTATTTGTTTTCCTACAAAGCTGGGATTATTAGGCAAAATTACATGAACTGTTTGTTAGCTGCTTTTGTACTTGTTTTAAAGTTCAACAGGCAGTACTATATCTCAATAACCATACAGTGGTACCTCAGGTTACAGACACTTCAGGTTACAGACTTTGCTAACCCAGAAATAGTACCTCGGGTTAAGAACTTTGCTTCAGGATAATAACAGAAATTGCGCAGCAGCAGCGCGGCAGCAGCAGCAGCAGCGGGAGGCCCCATTAGCTAAAGTGGTGCTTCAGGTTAAGAACAGTTTCAGGTTAAGAACTGACCTCCAGAATGAATTAAGTTCTTAACCCGAGGTACCACTGTACAACGTTCTTGTAAAATAGGTCAATGTTATCTCAATATTTCAAATAGGGGAGATAAGTTAATGGTTGAGGTGAGATTTGGGCTCTTTCTGGTCCACGGCCTGTTCTCTTAGAAGCAACATTACCACAAGCTCTCTGTTAGCAGTTATCATTAAAATCAAATAATTTGTGAGAAGGTCACAGTAACTTCTTACAAAAGCAGAGTAGAACATAATGTGCCATGTGTAATCTCTTACGCCAAAATATACTTGGCAAATATTTATTCAGCTTTTAGAAATCTTCACAAGAGGAGTTTGCATGCCTCACCAAGCAGCTTGATAAATCACTTTCATATTGGCCCTCCCACAATTGTTAATATTGTATATGCTTCAGTTGCAGCTTACTCTGACAGCTGCTGTTAGACTTCAGAAAGCTATGTTAAAGATACTTTGTAAAGAAAGAAAGGATGTATATTGCCACACCATGTTGTACAGGTAGCAAAAAATATACAGTGGTGCCTCGCAAGACGAAATTAATTCGTTCCGCAAGTTTTTTCTTCTTGCGAGTTTTTCGTTTTGCGAAGCACGGTTTCCCATAGGAATGCATTGAAAATCAATTAATGCGTTCCTAGGGAAACAGCTTGCCAGGCTGGCGGTGCGGAGAAGGGCTTTTCTCCCCACCACAAGCCTTCAGGACAGGTACGGGAACAGAGGGGAAGGCGCGCAGCGCTTTCCCTCTGTTCCCGGGGCTTGCGTGGGAGGAGGGTTTTTCCTCCCCACCGCCAACATTCAGAACAGCATTCTGAATGTTGGCGGTGGGAAGGGAAACCCTCCTCCCACCCCAAGTCTCGGGCGGCGGGAGGCAGCGTTCCCGTCCCCCCGCCCGGCTTCGGTGCGATGCTCCAAAGCCGCGCGGAGGGAGGAGGAGTTCCCGCCCCCCCGCCCGGCTTCGGAGCGATGCTCCAAAGCCGCGTGGAGGGAGGCAGCGTTCCGGTCCCCCTGCCCGGCTTCGGTGCGATGCTCCAAAGCCGCGCGGAGGGAGGCAGCGTTCCCGCCCCCCCCCGCCCGGCTTCGGTGCGATGCTCCAAAGCCGCGCGGAGGGAGGAGGAGTTCCCGCCCCCCCGCCCGGCTTCGGTGCGATGCTCCAAAGCCGCGCAGAGGGAGGAGGAGTTCCCGCCCCCCCGCCCGGCTTCGGAGCATCGTTCCGAAGCCGGGCGGCGGGAGGAGGTCCGAGGACAGTGGGGAAGTCGCGCTTCCCCGCTGTCCGGGAGATTTCCCTATGGGCTGTCGTCTTGCGAAGCAAGCCCATAGGGAAATTTGTTTTGCGAAGCGCCTTCAAAACGGAAAACCCTTTCGTCTAGCGGGTTTTCCGTCTTGCGAGGCGTTCGTCTTGCGGGGTACCACTGTACATGCATTCTTATCATTCATTCACAATAGTGTATGGAGTTATATCTACACAGAAAAATTATGGCAGGATTTCTGAGGCAGCCCTGACTTAAGCATTTGTATTACAGGGTTGTGTCCACATGAGGGCAAAATCTTCTATACAGTATTATGTATCCGGTTGGAAATATAAAATATGCATGCAGTTCCAAGAATTCTTGCTCAGTGATTGGAATACAGTTTGTCCTCTGGGTACTGGGAGTAACTGCCACATGCATTTGTTGAGTGATATTATGCAGCAATAGGACATTTGATCCACGTTCTAGCCAATCAGGTTATTGATTATCGATAGCCAGTGTGGTATAGTGGTTAGTTTGTGGGAGACCAGGGCTCGAATCTCCAGTGAGCCATGAAGCTCATTGGGAGACTCTGGGGCAGCCACATCCTTTCAGCCTAACCTACCTACAGGGTTGTTGTGGGAATTAAATGAGGAGTGGAAGAACTTGGAGCTCAGTGGAAAAAATGTAGGATATAAATGCAATAAACAAATAATAAACAAATTACCACTTACTGATTATATTGATTCCCCAATTTTCATAATTTCATAGTTGGAGTGCAAGCAAATTTTGAGGCTTGAATAAAACTTTATACTGTACAGTGGTACCTCGGGTTACATACGCTTCAGGTTACATATGCTTCAGGTTGCAGACTCCGCTAACCCAGAAATAGTACCCCGGGTTAAGAACTTTGCTTCAGGATGAGAACAGAAATTGTGCTCCAGCGGCACGGCAGCAGCAGGAGGCCCCATTAGCTAAAGTGATGCTTCAGGTTAAGAACAGTTTCAGGTTAAGAACGGACCTCCGGGACGAATTAAGAACTTAACCCGAGGTACCACTGTATATGTTTACTTTTAAGAGCATTGTATTTGAATTAGTAGACACATTTCTTCCCAGACCTGTAAAAATAATTAACTGTTAGGCTTTGTTTCCAGATACATCATGTTAGTTAACTTCTGGATTCCTCCTTATTTATGTGAATGCTTGGTAAACTGTTCCTGGTGGCATTTTAGCAACGTGTTACCTTCCATTCTGCAGTGTAAGTACTTGGATATAACCTCTGTAACGGGGTTGGGGAACTTTAGGCCCTCCCCCAGGCCACACGTCTCTTCCAAGCCACATACCTCACTGACCCTACTCTGCGCCCCATCTTGAAAACTGTTGTATGTCTGTAGTATGTCCTTTAACTGTAATAATGCTTCTTGCTTGCCTGGATGCAGAATGGAGAGAGGGGTGTGGTATGTGTAGAAACATGACTTCAGCAGGGCTAGAATGTGGCATACTGTTCTAAGGTAAGTGTCCGCCCTTGGTTTTTCCTCTAGCCTTATGGCCCTGCCCATCACTGGCATGCTCCCCCTGGAAGATTGCCCCAGGTTGTTTGTGGCCCTCACTCTGAAAGAGGCTCTTCACTATAGTTGATGTGGAAACTTCATGCTTATCCACTTTTCTAAGGGAGTTCTTGGGCTGAGAGCAGTGTGGTTTCTTGTTGAAACCAAACACCAGGATAATCATTATTAGCTAATTTTACAATATTAAAAGCATTGGTGGGGATGAGCAATCTCCTCCACTGGTTCATGCCAGGTTGGCTTGGAAAGAAGCTAAGTTACACCCCTCTTCCCACAAAAAAATCAGGTAGATCTTCTCCCATTGCCCTCTGGCAGCCGGTGCACTGAACAACATACTATTAAGTAGCCCCTAGAAGTAAGTATGACTGCAGGGTCAGTAGAAAAGTATATTTCCCAGGAGCTACTTGCAGCTACTTGCCGTGCTGGAGAGAGAAACCTCCATTCTTCCCCTCTTGTGCTTTCCTGCTGTTGAAGTGCTACTGGTAAGTGGGATTAAAAAGAGGAGGTATCTTTGGGCAGATGTGTGTGTGTGTAAATTAGAGGGGGATTATTCTCTGGGTTAGAGTAACATCTAATGTAGAGAAAGATTTTGTGGGGATCAGGGCTGTCTTTACCCTGGGGTGTATACATATATACCTAGGTGTTACCAAAATGTATACCTACTGTTTCACTAAAGGACTTTCGACTTTGTGCGCTCATTTACCAAAGATGCGCCGCGCTTGTCATTCACAACGGCGGCGCTTGTCAGATTCAATGATGGCACTTGTCATTCACAACAAGAGATAAGGCATAAGCGTGGTGCCTGACATAAGCATAATAAAAGTTAATTTGGGGGTTTAACTAAATTTGGGGGCGCTGGGTGGATCTTTGCACCCCGGTGGCACATATGCTAAATCCTCATAGTTCTGATGAGTGTTACAAGCTCTTTAAGGATCTAAAAGTCCACTTTCAATGACTGTTGCTGCTCTCTGCTTTTGGGCTCATTGTCATTAATGTGGATTAGATCCCATCTTTACGTAAAGTGTGTGCTGAGAGGATTGTAAAACTCACCATTGTTTAATCACTGATCTGAATAATTTGTATTTAATGATTTTCAGTCAAATCCTGTTGTATGTTTACTGAGATGCAAGCCCCACTATGTTCAATGGCACTTACTTCCAGAAAAGTATGCATGGGATTGTAGTCCTGGTGTATTTAACTATTAAGGCATTATTCTTGGGGCCATAAGGGCCTGAACATATTTTTCAGAGATAGCAGTTACACTGCTCAGTATTTTGAGTTATAAATTATCTTTTTAGTCAGAGTAATTTGAACATAAATGCAACAAATGGTGTATTTGGAAATAAGAGCTGGTTTCTAACACCTTCAGGAAACAAATTTATATTGCAAAGTGTGAATAGGGATCGTTTAGAAAGAAAGCTATTATGTTTGATATTTTAATCTCTTGTTCACGTTGGCATTTCTGTCTCTAGTATTATGCTTCTCTTGTGTTATATGTCTATAATTATGAGAAAGCTCGGATAAATCTGTAAGGATTATGTCATATTAAATTAAAATCATATTTCTGCCACTGTTATTGGCTAGCCACATTGTCATGCAGATGAAAGATAAAATATATAAATTATTTTGTGGAGAAA